GATAGAAAGAGAAGGAGAGAGAAAGGAGGAGAGAGAGAGAGAGAGAGAGAGGGCAAGGTATTCAAAAGATTGTTCATTTCGTATGCAATACATTTTACATTCAGCATTTTGAATGAACAGGCCAGCTTCCGTACATCAATTTTTTTTTTTCTTTTCATACACCAAATCAGGAGTAAGGCGCAATTGGCATGGATGAATTGAGAGATTAGCGATTCATGTGTAAATATTGCAAAAGACGCCTGATTAAAAAATTATCCTTTATATTAGATAAGAGATGAATGGGATTGAATGAACTTTGTAGCTTTTTGAAAATAAATCCAATTTGTCTGTAAATTTGAGATAACGATAACATTTCCTTATCAATCGTTTGTTTTGATTCAGTGAAGGGTTGACAAATTATAAGAAAATTTCTTTTGATTCAGTGAAGGGTTGACAAATTATAAGAAAATTTCTTGAAAGTTTGAAGATCTAAAAAAACTTTTAAAAATGCCTTTCATATGCTGCGCTTTTATCACTTCTTTCATCTATTTGTAATTCAAATCCAATTATTTTTTGTGAAGCTGATATAATTGATAATAAAGAGATAAAATCAACTGGTTAATTAAAATTTCTTCAGGATGGATTGATTAAAAGTAGAAAAAATTTTTCGGAAATCTTACGGAAGAATTTTTTTTTTTTTATGTAAGGAAGGACATCGAGGACGGATCAGATGTAAGGAAGGACATCGAGGACGAAAACAAGTAATTGTAAAAATCGTAAATCGTTTCTGTCATTTCTTGAACTTTTTATTTCACTTTAGCACAATTTAATATTCTTTGCCTCATTAATAGGCCAAGGTTGTTTTTTTGGTAATGTTTTTTGGAGCGATGTCGCAGTATTTTGATAGAAAGGACGAAGATAATTTAATAGAAGTGCAAGTTATTTGTTTTAGTAAAAGTAATAGTACTCTTTCCAACTTGTTTTTTTTTTTCACCTCCTATGCTTCTGTCAACTAAGAGATTGCTGGACGAAGACTTCTTTGAATAAAATTAGCTTTCCATTCTTAGTAATATTCCGAACACATTATCGGAAACTTTTTCATGCATAAAAGCTTGTTTATTCATCACATTTGCTAACATTCTTCATCACTTACTTGCTTATTTATATACATAAATTTCTTGTTAGCTATTTGAATATTAATTCGGTAACGGATCTATCGGATATACTATCGGAATTCGGTAACGGATCTATCGGATATACTATCGGAATCAAATTTTCACATCAGGAAATTTTGATCTATGTGTGATTCTTTCGTAATCTAATCTATCACAATGCCTATGTATTTGAAGAGCAAAATTTGAAAGATATTTAATTATTGAGGGATAGAGAAGCAGGAAATAATTGGATGAACAGAACGACGCAATCTAGATAACTATGTTCCGGATAACTATGCGTCACCAAGTTTGAATAATTTTGAGAGTTTTGCACTAAAGACGGATCAGATGGATTTGTAATTAAAAGTTTTTACAAGAAAACAAATACTGGAATAAATTTCAAAATGACAATTGTCCAGAAGAAAATAAATCTAAGAACAATTAGCAGAAAATGAATGACCGTCACACTTCATGTTATGACAGTATATTTTGAACGATGAAAGGTATCTCCGAGGTCTAGAATCTTCGATTTTAAATTGCTTTGAGCAGATATTAAAGAAGAATTTTTTGGATCATTCAGATAGATGATACCATCTTTAGAAATGAAAACTTCCTGCTATTTGATTTTTTTGTCTCTATTGTAGGGTGATGAGGCATCATCATTGCATGTGTCGTCTTTAGAATCAACTTTTTTTTAGTCCAAAGAATACATTTTTGGCTTTCCATAGCATTTCAAAAACTAATGTCCTATTTGGTTTGTTGATGATGATGATAGGAAAAGTTGATTAATTACAAAAGAAATAAAATTAATCGGCAAATCAATCAACAGTCTTATTATCTTCCTTGCAACCTTCACGACATCTCAGATACTTAGTATTGCTTACTCGGCAAATGATTGTCACATTGAAACTGATGTCCCAAGTTTGTTGGATATGAAAAGCGTAAAAAAAAGAAAAGATTGCAGAAAGGCAAAACTATCTTTACTATATTCTCTTCCACATATATATATGAACACATACACATATATGAATATACATGTATATATGTATATATATATATTCATTCAAATTATAGCCTAATGCTTACTGGCTCAGTTATTGATCTCAATTATGCATCCATTTTGTAAGGCCAATTCTTGAAAGTCCTACCTCGGCTAATATCGGGTATCTCGGGCTCATTCTTTCCTAGACATTCACTCCCATTTGTTTCATTATACTGATGGAAGCTATCATCTTTTTTTTTCTCTTAAAGTTCAATTTTCAAGAAGATATTCTTATGGAAATCATACACAGTGCTAGACAATATTAACTGACACTCATCATTCCATTATTTAAATTTAATTAGAAATTTCACTTTGTTTGATATTTCATCCTGAGAAAGACGAAGATTGATAGATAATCAATTATCAATGACAGGGCTTATTTCTCCACCAAAATAAAGCCACAATATGACCATCCTCAATTTCTCCATTTGTTTATCAGATGAAGAATGTGATTGATATGATTGCATGATTAGATTTTTTCAGCAGATTATGCATTTTAATTTGAGAATATAAAAATA